TTTATTAATATTAATTTGATTATAGTTTAATAACGATTAAATTATTGAATCTTGAATCGATATTTAGATTGACCTGATTTTGAAAAAAAAAATTGCAAAAAAAATTATATTAATTCATAGTTGAAAAATTATATAACATCATATATAATTTATAAAATTTCATACATAGAATTAAATTATTATATAAAATAAATAAATAAATAAAATAAGTTAACAAGAACTTCTCTTGATATCTTTCATTAAAAAAAATATATATATTAACTTTAAAATAAATATATTTTATATTTTATTCTGAGAACATATACTAATGTTTCTTTTAATATAGCAAGTGGAGGGCAAGCTCTACTTATCTCTAATCCCAGCCTCTTTTTATTTTGTGTTGTGTGGGTTGGAGACTTTAAACTCAAGTGAAATTAAAATAAATAAACTTTTATAAGAGGGCATAGGGCATATCGAGGTTTAGGAACGAATCGACGTGAGTGTATATAATATATATATATATATATATATATATATATGTCAGGAGTAAGTCTACTTAAATTTATTCTTTTAATAACTCATGTTCTACATCAAGTTTCAACGATTCAACCGTTCAATTTAAAGTTCTTAATATATAGATCAAATCTACAAATTTTTAGAAAATTTAAAAATTATTTGATACTTCATTTCATTAATTCGAATCAATGTATAAAATGATTTTATGATTATCAGTTAATTTGAATTAATGAAACGAAGTATCAAATGATTTTCAAATTTTTTAAAAATTTACAGATTTGATCTATGCATTAAGAACTTTAAATTGAACGGTTAGATCGTTGAAATTTGATGTAGAACATGAGTTATTGAATGGATAAAGTCTAGGTAGACTTACTCCTAGAGTAAAAGGATCTCTCATCATACACACACACATATATATATATAAAGGAGAGATTTGTTTATTTCATGAACAAGTTTAGATAAACTTATTAATACATAGATCAAGTTTGTAAAATTTTAAAAATATTTAAGAATCATTTGATACTTCATTTCATTAATTCAAATTAACAGATAATCATAAAATCATTTTATACATTGATTTGAATTAATGAAATGAAGTATCAAATGATTTTCAAATTTTTTAAAAATTTACAGATTTGACCTATGCATTAAAAACTTTAAATTCAATGGTTTGATTGTTAAAATTTGATATAGAACATGAATTATTGACTTTTCGTGTTTCTAACCTTTTAGGTTTTAATTTTTTGATAATTCTTTCAACTATTATTTTTATAAATATTTAAATAATACCAATTAAAATACATTAATTTTTATCAAATTATAGAATAAATTATCATATATGTATTGATCTTGAATAAAAATGTATATTGAAATAATATTTATTTATAAAACTGTATCATCTTTTAGTCTTCCACATACAATATTTGAAGTCATCTTTCAATATTTATATTATAAAAATTAATAAATTAAAAAATTGAAAACAGTGAAATTAAGTTACCTTTTTCTCAACTGATTCAAATAAATAAAAGAAACCCTCTTCTCCATTTGTGTCCTCTCTAATTTCATCCACTGGTTTCTTATCAACATATGAACACACCACACATGCCTTAGACAAAGAGAAGCGTTGGTGCCACACTCAACCTTTGGAACAATAAAGAAGCTTAGAATAATTCACATATTATAAATTTCATTTTGTCTTTGAATACTCTCACGCGGTTGCAAATTGTAATGCAAACACAGTTTCCACAAAGACCTCGTTTACGCGTGGCATTGAGTTTGATGTTTGATGATGAGAAATCAACCTTCATTTTGTTTTTATTCCTTTCTTTTAACTCATTGATTCAATTCAACGAATATACTCATTTTCTTTGTAGTGAGTATTCCTAATTTCAAAAGTAAACTAAAAACAATAGTGAATTAGTGAATAGCTAAAGTATATATGAGTATAATTTATAATGATCAAGATTCTAATCACATTCACTATATATCTAGAAAGTTGTTGATATTAGTGGCTACGTATAAGCATAGATATAGTAACACTTGTCTTACACCATAGACCTACCCTTTAATATAGGGATAGAGAAAAAAAATTGAAGGTCTGATCATGACATCAACCCACACGATTCCATGAATATTTTGAAATTAATGTAATTAACATGACAATGACATTTGTGCATGTTTAATATGATTACTGGTAATTACATCGAAGTAGTTGGAAAGTAAATGAAAGCTCATCAAACAAAAGATAGTGGAGTAGTATAATTAATTAACAATTTAGGTTGCTAGACTAGGAAACCACTGCTTCATTTCCATAATGAGTAATCCTCTACTTCCGAATATTTAAAAAAAAAAATCGCAATAGTTAGGAAAAATTATTTATATAATTTAATTTTATTAATCTTATCTAAAAAAATATTATTCCTAAATTCTCCTTTTTTTTATAAATTGGATACAAGAATAAAAAATATTAAAAATATAATCTCAATTAAATACAGAGATATTTTAAAAATGACATCATTAAATATATAGAGTATAATTTCCTTATATTTGAAACTAACAAATTAAGGAGTTTTCTTTTTCTCATATTTAAAATCGGAGTACCAATAAAAGTTAGTAAATAAATAACAGATATTGTGTAGTAGTAATTTTATGAAATTAGTCTTGTTATTAATAATTTTTTTCCTAAAAATATACAATACAATAATTTTTAAAAAATATTATTAGGGATATAAACAGAAATGAAGTAATTAATACTAAAAGTAAAAATAATATATATTTGAAAACTTTTTTATATGATATTTATTATGAAACGGGAGAAGTAGTGTATGCAAATAATAAATTATAAAATTAATATTTTTTTTCCTGAAAACGATACAGTGCAATTATTTTTAAAAAAAATATTATTAGGGATATAAATAATAATAAAGTAATTAATACTAAAAGCAAAAATAATACATATTTTGAAACTTTTTATATGACATTTATTATAAAACGCGAGAAGTAATGTATTCAAACAATGTATATTTTTAATTAATATTTTGGACCTTATAATTTCACATATTTCATATTTTAGTTTTTATAAATAAAAATATTTTATTTTATTCATCGTACATATCATTTTTTTCACTCTCTATTTTCTATTGTTATATAAGAATTAAAAAGTAAAATTTATTAATTATAAGGACTAAAAAGAAAATATATATATATAGAGAGACTAAAATAAAATATTTTTAATTATAGTAATTAAAAAAAATAAAGTTCTTAGAACTGAAAAAAGAAATTAAAACTTTTTTAAGATGCTTCAAGTATCCTTCACATTATAAATAAGGCTAAATTGTATTTTTTATTTTTATTTTTAATTTTTTTAATCCATAATTTTATTTCTCCTATTTTAAAATAGAAATATTTATTTTATTTATTTTTAAAAATATAAAACTTTAATTTTAGTGTCAATTTGATATCTGTTAATTATTAAATTTTGATATTAATTGATGACTTATCATCATTTAATTAAATAACACAACATATATAGAAAAAAAATTTAAAAGTTAACGTGTAAAATATTATCATTTTTATCTATTTTAATAAGCGGTCAATATTTATTTTATTAATTAATTTTTTATATATTTTCTTAAATTTTTTTATTTTCAAATATTATGTTATTAAATATTATATTACATAAATATAAATAAACATTAAAATTTAATAATTAATAGACATCAATTTAACGAGAAAAATATATTTTTTCAATTAAATAAACTATTATTTTTATTTTAAATACAAGAATTGTGAATAAAAAAAATTGGATGAACAAAATTCCAATTTAACCTATAAACAATAATAGTAAAATTTCCACGACACAACACCAAGACTCTATAAAATTGACTGTACTCATTGTGCAAGTATGCACATTGCAACAATAAATTAAAGGCATAAATATATGTTTTGGCATACACAAGATAAAACAAGACAAAAATAAAACAGTAATTGATAGAGCTGTCTAGCTTACTTAAAAAACGAAATTGCGGCAACCTATGAAAGCGAGTCACGAGACATGTTATGTGTCAACATATGACACACATTTGCAGAAGAAAAAAGAGTGACTCATGAGTTTGGAAGATCACACTGATGGAACATGATGATGATATCTAAGAACAAGCTGTTAACAGTGGTGTTTCTGATAGTCTTAGGTTTCAGCCTTGTGAACCCTTTTCCACTTGGCACGAGTGGTCGATGGATAGTGAAGGAAAGTGGTGAGAGAGTGAAGCTAGCATGTGTGAATTGGGTGTCGCATTTGGATGCTGTGGTGGCTGAGGGCTTAAGCGAACAACCTTTGGATGTGATATCAAAGAGAATCAAATCCATGGGATTCAACTGTGTGAGACTCACATGGCCAATTTTGTTGCTCACCAATCACTCTATTGCTTCTCTCACTGTCACAAACTCTTTCCAAAATCTTGGGTTGCTTCAAGCCATGGATGGAGTCCAAGCCATGAACCCCTCCATCATCGATCTTCCACTCATCAAAGCTTACCAGGTACGACTACCTAAGTCCAAGTGCATTTACTCTTCACTGATCAAAACATTTACTCACTCTTACCTAATTGATTAGTTCTTCTTATATCATACTATTTGATTAACTTTAAACATATATGGAATTATTAAAGGTAACTTAGACTATATATCATGCCTTTTGTTGATGTTTGTTGAATGATTTTTTGTGTTGGTTAGTTCTTTTAAATTTAGAAGTGTCTCGTGCTAGTAATTTTTTAATTAATTGTCTTTTTTTTTGCCAATCAATTATTTTTAATTGATTATTTGTCTTAAAAAGTTGAAAGAAAACGATGATTCAATCAATTCTTTTCTCCGTTTTAATTAATATATTGATTATTTTAGAATGATTTAGACAACTAATTAAAAATATTCATTTTTTTATTTTATTAAGTGAAATAAGATAAAATATAAATAAAGTTTGAGAGTACTTTAGTCAAAAAGAATTAATTTAAAAAAAAAAACTGATATTTTAAATCGACAATATTAATACCATTTAAAAGTATCACACTAAAAAATATATATTAATCATTGGGTTTAGTCTAATTGGTATAGACTTTATCCTTTCGAAATAAAACTATATAATTGTACACTAATAAGTATAACATTAAGAAATAACTCTGGTTAGAAAATAAATATGTTGCTAGGGCGTCATAATTTAATTTTTAAGATAATTAAACACAAACATACACGTATAAATTAATTTATAGAAAATTAAAATTTATAGGTAAATATCAATTTTACATTAACTTACTGCTGGATGATATTTTTACTTGATATTTTTACTTATTAAGTGAGTTGTGTAACAATCGATTTTTAAGTTTTATCTAAAAAAACAGTTATAAGTATAAATACTTTAATTTTACTTATAATAAATATTTATAGGTAGACGTACTTTTTAGTTTTACTCATAATCAATGAGTCAAGGGTGGCTGGAGGGAGGGAGGAAGCACCTAGAAGAATCATAGTCCCTTTTTTTTTTAAATATATTAAAATTATTATAAAAATATTTTTATGTCTCTAAAGTTTATAAAATATTATTATAAATTAATAGATGAAAATTATCTTGTTAATTTATACTTAGAAAAGGAGAAAGAGATAATATGATAGAAAGAGATATAAAAAAGTATAAATATTAATAAACTAATTATGATATAAAAATGTTTATATATAAGGGTCAAAGAAAATGACCCCTTCAAGCCAAAATTCTACTTCCACCTTTGCTCATAGTCATCATGTTTGTATGAATAAAACATCTGTATGTATAAGTCATTTTCTTATACAGTGAATATTTCTATTGAAATTTCAGTTGTCAAAAAAATTTGAATTTTCTATTTTTATTGAACAAAAGTATACTGATAAAAATAAACCTAACAACTATTTTTTCCTTCCTCTTTTTATAGCATACGTCTATATATTTGATATTTAACCAAGCAATTAATATATCCTCTTAATTTGTGTTAATGATGTCTCATTAATTATTTGTTGACCTAATTAATTAGCTCTCAAATATAGTTTCCTTGTGGCCAAGTTACCATGAATGTGTATGAAATTGAATACTGTATTTAGTAGTTGGAATTACTACTATCCAAACTCCCATGTGCCCAAACAGGCATCTTCAGGTTTTTATTTAAAGAAAGTATACATATATATATATAAGGCAATATTATCTGTCCCCAGGAAGTGGTGAAAAGTTTGGGAGACAACAATGTAATGGTGATTTTGGACAATCATGTGAGCCAACCAGGGTGGTGTTGCAGTTACATGGACGGCAATGGGTTCTTTGGGGATCAGTATTTTGATCCAGACCTTTGGATTATGGGCCTTACCAAGATGGCCACCCTTTTCAAAGGGGTCACTAATGTGGTAGGCATGAGCCTCAGAAATGAGCTAAGAGGTCCCAAACAAAATCTCAATGACTGGTACAGGTAATTTGGGACCCTCAAAAAGTGTCTATTTATTTTGTAGTATTATCAAGGTTTAATACATCACTATGTTTATGAAAATTTTAAGAATTTTTAAATTAAAAAAAATTGATATTGAATCCTTGATTTTTTTTAAGAACTTGTTACTGAATCCTTGATTTTTAATAATTTTTAATTGGATCCTTAGATCCCATTAAAAACATTACATTAAACAAACTAATGCTACAAAATTATTTTAATATGTCACTTCAATTATTTTTATTAATGATCATGAGAGAATAAAATAATATTTTTTTAAAATTATAAGGACTAAAATGACAAATTTTTAATTTAAGAAATTAAAAATAATATTTTTTATATTATTTAAGACTAAAAACACATGTTTTAAGTTTGAGGACCAAAAGAATATATACAAAGATTAAAACAATATTTGGTGTTTTTGAAATGACATGGACTAAAAAGATAAATTTTAAATTTAAAGAAGTACAAATATAATTAAGTCTAATTTTTAATTGTATCGTTAGATCTTGTAAAAAAAAAAAAAAATTGGGTTCTTAGATTTAGAGTGAGTAAAATCATCACAAATTGTTAGTTTTATAATAGTTTGAAACCGTCACAAATTAATTGGAAGACTTAATTAAAAAAATATATGAAAAATTAATTAATGCCCAATTATAAATTTTTTTTAGTTTAAGAATCTAATTAAACCTTTCTAAATAGTTCATAGACTCACTTATGTATTAAACCTTTTTTTAATATTGTGTAATGGAATGAAACAAAATAATACAACTACTATATTATTATTTAACATACTAAATTAATTAATAATAAAGTAATAGTGTATGCATTGATGTAAATGATTTTAAATTTTTTTAACATGTATAATAAATTTGTTAAATTTTATCATAATTAATTTAAAGGTTATTCCTATGAATATGTTGATTAATTTTTATTGGTTGATAAAATTTATATACTATAGGAATTAAACTTATAATAATATATAACTTGGTTTAATAACACTATATATAAAAATTAAATTATTGATTTTATAACCAAATATTTAGAGACCAAGAAAATAGGAAAAAAATGAAATAGAATAAAGATTGAATTCCATTTTATTTTATTTTACGATCTATACCATTTTTTTATTACTCCCTCATACTTCATTCTTTTCCCTTCATATTTGTATGAATCAATAGATTATTTAAGGATATAACTTGATGCAACCTATTCTGCTCATACCTCCATCTTTTTTCTTTAATTTGATTATGCTATTCAAGTTATGATAACTTTAATTGAAACACACCCTTGATGGGGATGACAAATTATACTATATATTATGAATCATGCATAGGTACATGTCAAAAGGAGCAGAAGCAGTGCATGCAGCGAATCCAGATGTTCTTGTGATTCTATCTGGCATAAATTTCGACACTGATCTATCATTCATTAGAAACGAGGGAGTGAAACTGAGCTTCAGTGGAAAACTAGTGTTTGAGGTGCACTGGTACAGCTTCAGTGATGGTCAAGCATGGGCCTCAGGGAACCCAAACCAGGTGTGTGGGGAAGTGACAGGGAGTGTGATGAGTAGGGCAGGTTTCTTGTTGGACCAAGGGTGGCCCTTGTTTGTTAGTGAGTTTGGGTTGGACTTGAGAGGCACAAGTGTGAATGACAATAGGTATTTCAGCTGCTTCATGGCACTTGTGGCCCAGCTTGACTTGGATTGGGCCTTGTGGACACTGGGTGGGAGCTATTACATTAGACAAGGAGTTGTTAGAATGATTGAGTATTTTGGTGTTCTCAGTTCGGATTGGACTCAGGTTAGGAACACAAGCTTCTTGCAGAGGATCTCAGCTATTCAACTTCCTTTTCGAGGTATAATAAATAACAAATCATAATGATAATAATATTTCATATGTTAGTTTCTTATATAAATGTTATCAAAACTACTAAGATGAGCTTGGTGGTTGGAAGTTAAGAACCTAAGATAGATGTATTACACTTGGGTTCAATCTTAATTAATTATGGTTGTAATTTTTCTTACTAAAAAAAAATTACTAACAACACAAACATACTTCTTTTCTGAGAGACGCTCTTACGAAAGGTTTTATTTTCAAATTAGTGAGACCTGCATGAATTTTTAATTAATTAGCTAGAAAGAGTTTATCGGTAAGAAAGTATGCTCGTAATTATTGCATGATCTATGATACTGTATGGCCTTAACCAATATGTACATGACATATGATTGAGTCCTATTATTAATTTTTTTTATAAATTAAAAATCTTAGTAACATATCATATGAAGATTGATCCACATTCGTAGTGATCTTGTGTCATATAATAATTAAAAAAAGCATTAATTAATTAGTGACTCACACCTCATTTACTTAACACCCCACTTTACATTGTAATTATTAGAAAGGATCAAGGTATAAGATGTCATTATTTCATATCACATACTAATGTATATTATTATCATGATCAATGTAATTATTGGATTTCTCTTGACATATTGCAGGGCCAGGACTATCAGAAGCTGAACCATACAAAGTGATTTTTCACCCATTAACTGGTCTTTGTATCTTAAGAAAGTCACTGATTCATCCGTTGAGTTTGGGACCTTGTTCTAGTTCTGATGGATGGGAATACAGTGACCAGAAGATTCTATCAATAAAGGGTACCTATTTCTGTTTACAAGCAGAGGGAGAAGGGAAGCAAGCAAAACTTGGAAATACATGTTCAGGTTCCAATTCAATATGGGAAATGATCTCTGATTCAAAGATGCACCTCTCAAGTCAAATCAACAATGCTTCTGATGTGTGCCTTGATGTAGACACCAAGAACATCATTGTCACCAACCCTTGCAAATGCCTGAGCAAAGATAACACGTGCGACCCCGGAAGCCAATGGTTCAAACTCGTTGACAGCACGAGGAAATCAACCTCAACATCATCTATAGAATCGGTGTTTAGTTTCATGGAAAAAGAAGCTTCAGGAAACCATTGAGCTCAAGTGTTCAACATAATAAAAAGTTAATTAACTTCATCGATTAATTATTCATTTTGACTACAATTTATTCATGTTGACTACAATTTTAGAAGAGTTTTTCTTCTGCCAGAAGCCTATTTGAATATAAACTAAGAAATACTTTTGAAAAAAAGTTATTAAAAATATTAAATATTCTTTATTTTCAATAAAAAAGCTCTTTAAATATTTTTTACTTGCATTTAAATAGATTTAAAAAAAATAAAACACTTTTAAATTTATATTCAAGCAAATTCAATATTACTATTATAGATTTTGTCTTGAGCATGTAAGACTTTAGTTTGGTGTCGTGCCTCTTTGAGGTACAATTTTAATTCTTGTGATTTGCATTAAGATGGAAATGCAAGTAAAATTATAAGAGGTGTGAATGTGAATCAATCTGATTCATACGAGTTACTTCATTATAGATTAATGATTTAAACAAAGTTAATTTAACTTGACTCACTTTTTTAGTAAATTAGAAAATTTTCAATTCGGGTTTGGCTATTGATAGATGGATTGATTTACTAAATTTTTAAAAAATTAAAAAATTAATTATATGTTGTTATTTTAACTAAATAAAATAAAGAATTATAATTTTTTATATAAAAAATTAAATCTATTATTGATTCAAATATGAATGTATAAAAAAATTTCAATCAAATTAAATTTTAAATAATAACAACATAAACATATATATATAATTATAATAGATTAACCACATTAACTAAATTCACTTAAACTTAAATCTGATTAACTCACGAGTTAATTGAATCCGATTGAGAGGGATGCCGAGGCCGGTTAATCCACCAAATTTGACTCATTCTCACACCTCTGAAATTTATTAATTACACAAATGGGACTCAACCATGAAAGAATTTTATCGATTAACTGAATCAGGAAAAAATAAATGTACAAAGAAACTAAACTTTGATACAGCTATTTACACGTGGGATTGAATATTCAAGGGGTACCCCAAGAATGGAGTATATACAAATCTGTCGGTGTTCATTGTTCAAGATAAAAGTAGTGACATGACATGGAATGGAAATCCATGACTATATACAAAACCAAATTCACATGCAGCTTCAAGAAAAAGCAGAAAACGAGAATCAAGATTCAAAATCAAAAGAATTGCTCAACGAGGATTGGAACTGGCGCAGCACCAACAAGAAGAAGGATCAACAAGAGCAACACGCCAAGCCTAACCTTGTGCACCAAGGCACTATAAACATCACACGATGCAAGAAACGATGGTTCAACATTGTTTGCATCAGACGAACCACACAGTTCAAACCTCACCTCACCACAATGGCCTTGAAGCGTGTCCCTCGCAGCATCAACGCTGAACCACAAGTCCAAGTAGGCAAATCCACACGATGATGTTCCCTGATGTTGATGACCCCATTCATCAACGGTCACGGACACGTTGGGGAACTTTGCATGCAGTGTTGCTGTGTCTTGTTGGAGAGAGAAAGTTGAGAGTGATTTTTGGCGTTGGAAGAGTGAGAAGTTGAAGGAATCGTAGTTGATGGTGCCACCTAAAGGGTTGGTGTTTTCGACGAAGAAACTCACACCCAAGTTGGCTTTGAAGGTGTTATGAGATGTGACGTTGAGCATGGAAGTGGTGGTTGAGTGGAGAGTGAAGGAAGGGGTGAGGGGGACGAAGAACAAGGCTAGTGAAAAGGTGATGAACAAGATCATCCATTCTCCAAGAAATGCAAAGAAAGTGGTGATGGCAGCATAGGTGCGGTTCCACGTGGAGTAATCGTGGATAGTGTATAGAGGTGATGACAACTTTTTGGGGTCGTCCATGGTTGAAAGATTTGGTGCAAGAATGAAACAAGAGTGGATAACTGCACGAAAGTGGTTCTCGAAATGGCTTTGTATGAGTAAATGACTTTGCATGCAAGAAGAAAGACTAGAAAGAAGTGAAAAGTGAGTATAGAATGGCTCGAGTGAAAACACCAATTATCAAGAGAAAGCTAAAGAGCTCGTGGGGATTTTTCTTACCCCTTGACTATTACTCAGTTGATCATATATATACTACTTAGTGTGGAGCACTTAAGATCTTCATTAAAGGCCATGCTTAAACTATCATTTAAAGTTCTTTTTTTTTTTTTAAATTGTTATTAGTTTGCAAATGAGTAAAATCTCAATAGTGATCGATGTTCTCTTTCAATCATATTTTTCATTCATCCATCGATTAATTCTAGTACTAATTCGAGATTTTGTTTAAAAAGATTTTATTTAAAGGATCTGAATTTACTCCTATCAAAAGTTTAGTTTTTTTTTTAAAAAGAATTATACTTGATAGCAAGTGATTTAGTACAATTGAGATACTTTTCTCAGCCAATTGAACCAATTTGCTTTGTATCAGAAGTGAAAGTCTAGTCTATTCTGATGAAATATCATAAATTCTGACATGTTTCAATGTAATCATGGTTTCAATCAATACATTTTTAGATGTTATTATTTCTTCTCCAAAGTTTAAAATTTCAATTATATATCACAAAAGATGGGTTGGAACTGTAGATACATTCCCACCATATATAGTAGTCTCTTTTCTTATGGTCTGACTGAATATGGTTACCGATGAGTAGGGGTGAGCAATGGATGAGTTTGGTCGGGTTTGGATGAAAAATGTCTAACCCGTTGTAAATTAATTTTGAAAAAATATGACCCATATCCGATCGACTGAGCTTTCAATTTGAGGCGGTTCGGGTTAAAACGGATTCGGATTTGAGCAGGTGGGTACAATCAGGTTTGAATTTTTTTGTAGACCAATTTATCTTAATGAAGATGAAGCTTAAAATGATAAAAAAATATTTTTAAAATAGTGTATAAAAATAGAACGAAGGTGACAGTATATGGTGTAAGTAGATTCCTAGTTGAAACATTTACAAACTAAAGAAGCAAAAATAAAAGATAACAAAATTCATAGTTGTTACATGTAAAAGAAATCTAAAGTTAGATTACAAACACATAAGAAATCACAGTCGCACAAGTTGTACTCAAAATGAAGATAAGAAGATGGAAAAGAAAGATAAAGAAAGAAGTAAAAAGATAACTCTAAAAATGGACTAGTGTGTTGAGAAGTTGAATGAGGAAGGAGAAGACAAAATAAATATCTACGTTATGAGAAAAATGAAAAAAATAAGTTACAAATTGATGACTATATTATACTTGAAATAAAGACTTTTAAGTTTGGATCATTGTTGTTTAGTTATACGCTCAATATCGAACACGCTCAACTAAACCCGTATAAAATCAAAATTTTAACCCGATTTATCCATAAAACTCGCCTAAACCCACCCAAAAACAATATTTTTTATCAAATTTTTCGAATTCGGTTCGGGTATCGATTTAATGCTCGGCCGCTACCAATGAGGGAGGAAGTCCCGTACTTATGAAAAGCGTTCAATCAATTTATACTTTAAAGTAATAATAAGGTTATTAATTAGCTATTGGATATAGGGAAAAAAAACCTAAATTTAAATGGAAATTTTTTTATCAGTACTAATATTGTGCACGGGTTCACACATATCTCCTTTAGTATGATATTATTTATTTTAAGTATAAATTTTTATGATTTTATTTTTTATTATTATTCAAAAGACTTTTTATTAACAGAAATTTTATGTATCTATAAATTTATGCTTATTTTCTTATTTTAATCATGTGAGAATTCAATTATATCTCAACAATACATTTATGAAATATAAAATTTGCATACAAAACTAAAGTTTTTATCGAAGTTTTTATTTTTTAATCTAACATTTGTTTAATAACTTTTAAATACGTGGATTTATAATGTTCTTAAAAATCAGTTTCGTGAATTTAAAATTCGAACTGCGTTAACTTTTAAAGTTATACGTAAATCGTAATAATTAGTATTTTGAGATGTTTGCAATGTTCATGTTAAATTCTTATATACATATAATTAAAATTTATAATAAATTATATATAAATAAATATTATATTTGAAAATTTTAATTATATTTAAATTTTATATAAATAAATATTTAAAATAAAAATTATATTTTAGATTTTTATAAATAATTTATATTATAGCAAAAAAAAATTTTATTGTAACAATGTACTAGACGGACTCAATTATCGTGTTTTGTTATAATATATATATATAGGATTTAGGATTTTTTTGAAAAGATATTTTTTAATTTTATTCTTTGTAAAAAAAATATTTTTGAAAGATTAAAACATATACTTTCAGACAATAAAAATGTACTTTTTGAAATATATACTAATGTAAATAAATAAATAAAAACTTATTTAATATTATTGTCAATAAATCGTTTAATATTGTACCGTTTGTTAGTGTTGTATGTGTTGTGGTGTGTTGAAGGTTCTTTGGCCTAAGGTCCAGTTAATCTTAAGTGGAAAAAATATATAGGATTTCTTTTAAGAACTAAGACTCATAAACTTAACTTGACCTTAAAATGAGAATAGAGTGAGTAACTTTAGTGTCTAAACATTCTTCTTCTTCTCTTAGATTCACATGAGTCTTGAGCTGCATTTTCCTTGTAGCTAGTTAGGATTCAAAGCTTCTCAAAGTCAAGGATCAGTGGTGGCATAGAGTGTTCTTCATGGTTTTTAGAGTTCACCTTCTTCCTCTTCTACTTCTTGGTTGGCTTGGAGTAGAGGTAAGAAAAGTTGGGAGTAGTTCTTGATATGTGATTTGGTGATTGCATGATGTTTTTTCATCTGATGTCACTAGTGCAAAAATTGGATTTAAAATCGGAGTTTTAAGATCGGTTACAAGGTAACCAATCTTAAAAGTGACGCGAAGGCAATTTTGTAAATAACATGAACACTTTTAAGATCGGTTAATTTTATGACCAATTTTAAAAGTGTTACTTTTAAGATCGGTTATTTAAGAACCGATTTTAAAAGTACTACTTTTAAAATTAGTTATTTCAATAACCGATTTTGTATGTAGTATACAAAATCGGTTCTTCAATAATCGATTTTAAAAGTATCGTCAGAAATCTTTTATATTCCCCTCCATTCTCATTCTCTTTAATCTT